GAACACTCTAAGGTTAAATCTGATGACTGAAACGTAAAAAAATGTTTTTTGGTTTCATCACGAAACTCGTAAAAGATGTTAATTAAATAACACATGCAGCTAGAAATGAATTTAATAAACGCTAAAAGAATAAGCCGAATTTTGAATCAGTATCATAAGTACCTACACTCAAGTTGCAGTTTTAAAGTTAAATAGATCTACTCTAGAAGTTGTGTTCTTGGAATTAATTTGAAGCACTATACTGTACATTTTAGACTATAAAAATTATTTGTTCTTATTCGATTATTGTTTCAACTTCTTCTTACTTAATTATAATTTTATTAACAAGTGCAAGCGTCTAGAAAATTGGATAACAACGAACGATTTATTTATTAAAAAAATTAAGGTAGTTAATATTTTATTAAATACAATTATATTTTTTGTAGATACACTTACAGTAGGAATTACATTTATCTAAAATAAAGAAAATACTGAAGAATCACAAGTTGGATACATATCACCGCAGTTGTGCTCTTCATTGGCAGCAGCATCGTATTTGTCTTTTTCGTCGCTTGGATGTTGGAATTCTTTTACTCTGAAATAAAAAAGAAGAAAAATATAACATATGTACTGTTAAATTATTGAAAGATTGCGTTTACGTCATCCACGTACTATGTGCATACGAATCAATCTAAAAAATAAGCTGAATTATTGCTGGTTTGGTCCATATGCAAACCTTTAATAATAACACAATAATTTCAAAACCAAATAGTAAATTATTTACCTAAATAACACTCTGATCAGTTCTTGCATAAAACTCCCCTTTTCTTTCCCTTTGGGCAATTTCGTTACTTCACAAATAGCTTTCAGTAAACAAGCTTTACCATCTTTTTGTTGCCTAACAAAACAATTAATTTAGGAGAAATTGCGAATAAACTAAGCACTGACTTACATGCTTAGAAATTTCTCGATTTTTGGGTAGAGATCTCTCCTTGTTCTTCTGTGAACTTCCCGATAGACAGGGTCGTGGTACATGGTCACTCTGTCCCCTAAGTCTTTGTAATAAGACCCACCATTGCTGTATTTCATTTGACTTTGCGAAGTTCTCCGTTTATCCGAGAACGGATTTTGGAAATTTTTGTTTAGCAACTGTAGAACTGTGCTATAAGTCGATGGGGGTATCTTGATTCCAAGTTTGTTGATAGTTGAATATGGCGATTTCTTTTGTGTGTAATAAAGTTTTGTTTTACTACCGCTTGGAGAATCGAGACGACTATGGGGATGATCTTCGCCTTTGTCCCCTTCAGTCATTTCACCCTCCTTGTTGTCTTTCTTCTTGTGCACCCCAATGTAGGGTTTATTTGGCAATTCCCAAGCAATAGCTGCAGTCCATCCAAACACAAAAAAGTCTGCCATTGCAATTGACGGCATTGTCAAACAATAGACTAGAAATTAGTGATAAATATTACATAAGCTCAGTTACAGTTTAGAGTTAAGACATCTCACCAAGTTGCAGCGAGCTTCCTTCAGGAAATACGAGGAACCTCTTCTTTCTGGACAACCTAACAGCTCCGATGTCATTTCTGTATTCAGTGTAATTTTTATTAAACTCTGAGACTTCCGACGTTAAGGACATTGTTGTTTCCGCCGAAGTTTGAGATAAAACAACGAATAACAAAATTGGAAGGAACATTTTCCTTCGGTGAGGTTCACTTATAGGTTGTCGACTTTGAAAGATGAAGGAACATTCGGTAAAGATGATAATTAAAAGTACCGTTCCGAACGAGACCCATTTTTAATATGAATAAACAAACTAGACACGTACGAAAAATGGATAGGTACAAGATTGTAAGATACTTGATGTATTTCTTGATCTGCAAGCTCCAGTCAGAACGATAATCATCACAAATGATTTACTTATATTAATTTCATGTAATGATTATCATATTATGTGACATACAAAATGAATTGTCCTCTTCAAAGGAATGTCTTATGATTCTTATTGTAAATAGCATCTTTACTTTTCATTTTAGCATTGTCGACACTGATAATGCGTAAGATATGAATTGAATGTGACGCACACAATGAATGTTTGTTCAGAGGATTAGTAGAATACGTTGACCTAAAGCATTTCGTCTCTTCAAACCCCATCTACAAAAAGAATTACAACGCGACAGCAGTTCGAAACCATTAACATGATTGTATTTTTACATCGGCTAAATTTAAGTTCAGTTTTCCGCGGAAAATAATGAGAAAACTTGTGATGTTTTGTATGTGTTCGCTATTCGCAATAATTCAAACTACAGACGTACTAGATACCAGCCACGTGTTGTTGGAAAGGCAGAAGAGATTCCTTGTCTATAGGCCGGGGGTGAATTGGATTCAGGTGCATACAATTATTTTTCATGTTTAATGAGGGTGTTCCACACAAAACATTTTTGAATGCTTCCAACATTTTAAAATAATTAATTGAATCATTATTTAGAAGGAAATTTTGTAACTTCTAAAGATGCCACAAAGGGGTGAAATAGTTGCTAAGACACCAAAAAAGGAAGTCCATCAAGTAAATCTATTTAGAAATTTGATATATAATTTTCAAACGATGTTTCTCAAAGCAGTTCATTTTCTTCTTGATTCCGGTTTCTGTCTCGTCAATAATTAGTAGATTCCTGGCGGTTGTACAACCAATTCCTTTCTAGTTCTAGAGCTTTTTGCACAGTTAGGCGACCGTTATTATACAAACGCGCGGTGTGATAATTAGAAGGTCTCGCATAGTTCTGATTCCAAATTCGTTCCAACAGAATGTTGCGCAAAAACCTAGCGACGCTATTCAATTTATTTCCGATTCTGCTTCTTTTGTTTCCCATGCTTAATTCGCAGGAAGAGCTGCTATCCAGGAGAAAGAGGTTTCTCGTTTGGCAGCCGGGAAACAATTGGGTTCAGGTAAATTAGGGGTTAATGTGAAAGGTCTCTTACACATGCAGTGCTGTTAAATTTTGGTATATATATACATTGAATAAATACCTGGTGGTTTTTGTGTTTTCTGTAACAGTTGGTTGTTGGTATTGGCATACCGGCGGATGTTGATGACCACAGTATAACATGGGGTGCTTCGATGAAGGCGTTTTATCTGTTGCCTGACAACAGCAGTTATTATGACAACCCCACAATAGATTACGCAAGGAGACGGAAAAGAGCAACATCTAGGTGGGATCTCTATAAATCAATCATCTATTTTGTAGAAAGGTTTGTGTATCTCTTATTATATTTTAATCTAAATCAACCAGAATAAGTATCTGGTGGCATATAGCCATCCATTCAGTATATTCATTAACTTATAGACCAAACACTTGGTGTTCTTTGTTCCTCTTTAGAATAGATATAATTTCCCACTTAATTAACTTAACTTTCAGATATTTCTTTGGCCATTACAAGAGTGAGTGTTCCAGATTGTCTACCTATATATAAATTAATTTTTCTTTTAAGGGCGTCATCCTACTCGAGGCAACTTTTAATGAGAGTCACTCTCGACTCGCCAATTTGGTATTGCCATGGGCGCGAAGTCATAATTCCATTTTCAATTGCAGGTCTGGTCTCGGCGACGGCAAAGCCTGTCTACTACGAGCAATTTGCGAACTTGCCGAAATACCCCTCGAACAGACAAGTGGCTTATTTGCTGAAATACTTCATGCATTATTGACGTAAGAATAAATTTCGAAACTCACTTCAAGTTAACTTCACTTATAAAAGAGATCAATTCGATCGCTCTTGAATATTTCAATATTCAAATTTGTATTTGATAAATTGCTAAACAGATTTACGACACTATAGTAGGTATCTACATAAGCGTCTATAGAATTATGATTCGGGCTGAGGGGTCGTGGTCTATAAGAACTGCTATTAGGTCCTGTTGTTTTTCCGGTCTAACAGACCATTCAGTCCAAAATATAATTTTACGACGATCAGCAATTGTGATGCGAGATGATACAAGAAACAGTTTTCCTTCCTTTCTTAACAGATGCTTAAATACAATTTGAAAATGCTGTTGATTGTTTTTCAGGCCATCTTCAACGCCGGAAGAAATCCAAGAATATGGCGACTTGGAGTACCATGCAGCGGAAAAACTTGGTAGAAGTACCGGAAATTGTGACTCCCTATATTCCGAATGTAGACACAGTTTAATTTCGAAATTTACAAAATTATTTTCTTATATCAAATGAGTGTTATACAAAAATGTAAAATAAGTATCTACTTTTCCTTATAACTTTCGATATTTCTCAAATTAATTGTAAAGAAACACAGAAATATCTTCTATTAATTGTATCAAATAAACCACAAATCGATAATTGTTTTCACTTGGGTTTTTATTTCTAAAAAGGATTTTATATTGATTATACCTAAAATGACTTAGCTTTGGACGATTATCGATTTTAAAACAGTTGGAAAGATAAATCGATTAAAAATTAATGTTGTTGCTTGAATAAAACACGAAGGAAAATGAATGTTTACCTTTTATATTAAGCGAAAGGGCATGGTAGAAAGTTCGGCTTGTTGAGAATGGATTGAAAAAGGTTCATCTAATTTTCACGGATGGACCTCCCGTAATGAAATCGATATCGAGGCTATGGATGCATAAGTGGTCGGCATCTCGTGGAGCTGTTCTGCTTTTAACTCCCAGAATAATAGTCAATTGGAATTACGTTGTTGAAGAGAGTTTGCAACTTTTAAAATTAATCGCGAGCCTCTTCATAGCATCGTGTTCAAACGGCGTTCAGTTTAAAATTAACCTATCGGATAATTCGAAAATATGAAAACGAAGCTTGTTGAACAAACAAAAGGCAAGGTACCTAAGTTTTCATATGAGTTTAGAGAAGGCATTAAAGGTTTTAGATTTTTAGTTATAAATCTACCCTTTATAGTGAATTAGTTAGACAGTCCTCATTTAAGGGTTGAAAGATAAATGGTTGACAATGGTTTTGTTAAGTTGGACTTTGAAGGTTTTTGGGCTTGCTGGTTATGGTCTAGATTGGTTGATTCTGGTAGAATTATGGTCTCAATTGGTTTATTCTGATACACTCATCAATTAATCTAGATCTTGACTAGCAAACCTGGAAATCTTTTTCATGAGTTTAGATAAGGCATTAATGGTTTTAGATTTTTAGTTATAAATGTACCCTTTAGAGTGAATTAGTTAGAAAGTCCTCATTTAAGGGTTGAAAGATAAATGGTTGACACTGGTTTTGTTAAGTTGGACTTTGAAGGTTTTTGGGCTTGTTGGTTATGGTCTAGATTGGTTGATTCTGGTAGAATTATGGTCTCAATTGGTTAATTCTGGTACAGTCATCAAATACAATCATGCAATACAAAAGTTAAAACAGAAACCTGGTACATTATTTGTTTCATTGTTTAAATTGAATTCAATTCTTTGAAATATTTTGTAAGGACTGCTGTACTGGTTTATTTAGTCAATCGTTTGATATTGCGGTTGAAAATGATAGCCTTGGCCTTTACTCGATCGTTCTCAGGGGACCGGTTGTAACCGAGCATTTTCCAATAAGTCAGTTAAACTAACCATCTTAATTTCAAATAGTTTGTTATTGGAAGACTTTGCAAACCCATCACGTTTTCTACTGGATAGAACATACTACGTAGTCGGGACAAGGGAGCGACTGTAATCTATCTATCAAGTTTCGGAACGAGTCAATCTTTTAATAAAATTGATTGGGCTTATTAAAGATTTAAGTAAGACGATGCTCCATCCTATTGATATATGTAGGTAATGGATTCAATTTTCTTCATTTGAAGTCGTTTAGGTGTACTGATGATCAAAAAAGACAGCAGGTCCAAATAAAATAATAATTTTGACTAGGAAGTGTCACTAATATTTGCTAACATTAATGGAAAAGCAGGAAGAAATATATTTTATTAACCAGTTGCTTTTGATACATAAACAGATTCATTAATTGTCATTTTAACCAAAAGCTGAATAATCTCCTAAAGCCATTTCGAGCAGAGAAAAGCTGCAGCTAGGATACATTACTTGACATGGCCTGTGGTCGCCGCTTCGGCCATTTTTGTAAGCTTCGTGATATAGTAAATGTTCTTCTGGTTCAATGTCCGCAATGTGTTTCTGAGGAAATCTAAAAGCGTTTGTAAAAGATTAGGACCTTACGAAAAGGAAAACATCGAGAGCAAGTACGTACTTAAATATGATGGATAGCATTTTTTCAATGATGTTCTTTGGAGAGAAGAAATACTTTTGGCTAGCCTCACACAGAGCCCTGAATACGCAGGTCCGTCCATCATAACCCATTCTGAAAAAATGAGTATTAGGTTTACCTCATTATCATTCATTCGTTATAATTCATTAAACTTTGAAAATCCAGGTGAATAATCTACTTGTTCAGTAGACAGTAGGTAACAAGCACTGCAGTGAAAGTTTCATGTCATGTCAGAACTTGTACACATTTGAGAAATGATTTCTGAAAGTTAACGTCTTTAAAAGTTTTAGAAGAACTCAATTCAAAGTTTCTGAAGTTGTATGCATCGGTTCGAGACTGTCAAAAGGGCAGCCAGTGGCATTTATTAAGCTCTAAATTTCGACTTGCGTGAATAATTCGTTAACCAACTTAAGGTTTGTGTGAATATTATACGTAAAGTAAGGGGTAACTGGTATTTTCCAAGATTTCTCTTCATCGGATGGATTCAAAATGGCCGACGAGAGTACTTACTGTCATCCGCCATTTTGGGTGCTGACTTTACATAATGGATGTACAAGAGGTTGGTTCTGGTAAGAAGTCCTGACTGACCTATTACATCCAAAAAATTGGAGTCACTTCTAAATCCAACTGACAATGAGTCTGTATCACACAACTGACAGACACTTGTCCTTATCATTTTTATTGATTCGACTCAAAATGGTGAATTTGTAGAATATACTTACGAATCTATTATTGCTTCTATGTTTTTATAAAGATCTCTTCGATGTCTTTTTTTCAAAAGAAATTTTGGGTAAAGATAGGGCTTTAATTCTTGTGAATTATTCGGTAGATCGTAGACCATTCCGAATGCTACAGCTTCGGTCAGAAACGATGGTCCAATCAATTGCGCTTGGGTGCAAACGGATATCTAGTAGTAAACTTATCATTATGTAATTGATTTTTTTAATTAGTATAAGTACATCATACCGCAACACTGGCGCCGTCAGGAAACACAAGATACCTTTTCTGGCGAGAATGGTGCTCCAAATTTGATTCGCTGGGTTCAATCATTGATAAAACAATACACAAGATAACGAAATAAAACATGTCACTTCTTTCTTCAGGTTAACATACGACTTTGAACTACAATGTTAGTTAATGATGGCAGGTGAACTCGTTTAGTTTTTAGCCCATTAAGCGAATTGTGTTAATTGATGTCGAGGAACTAAATTTGCACCTTTAAATTGCTAAATTTCTTTGCTAATAAGAAAGAAAACCCATTGCCCTACTTATCTATAAAAATTTAGGTGCATTCGTTTTTTCCCGTTGGTTTAGGGTTTCAGTATATCAGAACGTAGAAGCGAAGACTTTAATATAAATAGGGTCAATTTCTTACCCGTTCCTCGACTCTCAGACTAATCGTCAGAACCTAGAGCTAATAACGTATTTCCGGTTGACCTAAAATCTTAAAATTTGGCATGAAAGAAGGTCTTGCAGCATAAGTAAAGGAGAAAAATCAAAGTCCTTTATTTTTATTTCTGTGGTGAATTATTACGTGAAAAACTTGAATAAAAATTTTAATCATTTTCGTTACTTTACGGTTTATAATAACATATAACTAGTTTAAAGATAAAGTAGTTTTATTGAATAATTATTTACATCAGTATTTATATACAAGTCTAAATAGAAAAAAGTATTACAAGTATATATAGTGTATGCTATAATTTAGCTAATGAGAAGTCCAAGAACAATATCTATAAGGGAATGTTGACATTGCCAAAACGTTCGAGAGCAATCCAACATCTTCTCTTCTTTTCCTTTTTTAAAAGCCCAGTAATATTGCCATGACTCGTCATGCTCCAGTAATGAAAGATTTTCCAAAGGAAATCTACAAAAAAAAACATGCAAATTAGTAATACGACATTTGTGACTATTTATTATAGTGTTCTGAAAAGCTTTTATTTATATGTGTACGTACTGGAATAAAATGTACAAGAATTCTTCCACTAGATTAGCCCTTCGATCTGCAAGGGTCTGTCCTACTTCGCATAACGTTCTAAAGATACACGACCTCCCTTCCAACCCCATTCTGCACATACAAAAGCTTTACATTAGACCAAAGCAAAACCATTATTCATACTACAAAGAAAGTCATACGTATGTACTTGGAACAACAAATAAATGATTAAATACTGATGGGACATACGAATTCATTAGTTTTTCTAATCTCTGGTAGAGGTCTCTACGGTGGCGCCTTTTTAGGGCTGCCTTTGGGTACAGGAAGGATTTAAATTTTGATGTGTCATTGGGAAGATCGTACGCAATGCCCCACGCCACTGCTTCAGTGAAAATTTCGGCAGGCCCTATTGTTTGGGCTGTAAGACAAAGGGCAGCCTAAAAAAAGAAGATACGTTTCACTATAAAATGGTCCCAACGAATTTGTCTCAGATGATAGTGAAATATAGGGAGTGATTGCTGGAATAAATTATCTAGTGATGCCCTGGTCAAATAAGACTTTCGTTTTTAATCAGTTAAACCAAAAGCTCATTAATTAACACCTGTAGAGGTATCCCATTGTTTACATTCAATTAATTAATTTCGATTAATTTGATTTCATTTGATGTGAGATTAGAAACCACTGAATTATTTGACTTTGAAATCAGTAATTTATTCTATTGTACCCTCTGTATAGTTACTATTTAACCTTTTTTTGATATAGGGCACCAAACAACTTTGTTATTTTTTAAGGAGTAACTTACCGAAAATGTAGAACCTTCGGGAAATGTCAAATATCTTTTCTTTCTGGATAGTTTTTCTATTTTATGACAATTTATTGCTGATAGTAAAGTAGACAAGACAAACGAAATTATTAAACAATCGTAGAAGAACATTTTTAGACGTTTTATTGTGTTTTGTTTTGTTACTACATGTCGACCCAAGGAAAATCTTATTCCTAACTGCACCTTTGGGTATGCTAGTTTGTGCTGTAAAGTTATGGGTGATTTTTACGGTAAATATTTGGAAATTGAGTTTGATAATGAAGATACTTTCATATTAAATTAAATTGTTGACTTACTTTAATAAGATAAATTGCTTTAGCAGACTGTGAATGGATATACACATTAAATAAGTGGTAACAGATTTGTAACAGTAGTTCAAGATGGTAATGACATTTTTAAACATTTTACAGGTTTTTTAATGAAACTGTACTTCACAGTCATACCCAATGTTTTTTATTTCCTAATGCCTAACACAGTTCTTGTTCTGTGTATTTAGGGCTTGAGAATTGAATGAAAATGAAAAAGTTGTACATCGTTTTGTTTTTTGTAGAAACAGCGTTTGCAAATTTTCAGTCTAGTGTGAATGAAGTAGACACATTAATTCTACTTCAGGTGGGCACATACGTGAATTCTAAGATCAATACAACAACTAGGTACATTCTGATCGAATTGTATTTATCACTTTTTTGTAGTTTTTGGCTGGTGTAAGTTTTCCTTTTGAAGTAGATGACAATAGTTTGGCGATTGGAACTTACCTAAGGGCCAATTATTATTCTACGGACAACGCTACGTATTACACAAATCCTACACTTGATTTTTCCAGAAAAACGAAGGGAAGAGCGTCTCGATGGAACATGTACCGATCTTTGAATAATTTTATTGAAAAGTACCCTTGATGAATGTTGAGTATTTTGCACTGTTTGAAACCATTGTCTTATTAAAGGTCGGGGTTTGGAGATGGCAAAGCCTGCCTTTTAAGAACCATTTGCGAAATAGCAGAAATACCTTTTGAAAAAAGAACTGGATTGTTTGCAGAAATTTTGCACATTCTTCTAACGTAAATAAATGATGGATATACTAAATGAAAATAGTGAAATTTTCATTCGGTATTTTATAGACCGTCCACTACGTCGGAAGAAATTGAAGATTACTCAGACATGGAGTACTATGCTGCTGAAAAACTGGGGAAACAAACTGGAAATTGTCATGTATTATATTCAGAGTGTAGCTTCAGTTTGGTGTCCACTTTTACTAAACTAAAATAGAAAATGGAACCCTCAAGGCTTTTCATTAGAAGAGATTCGCCTAAATTCTGACAGTCACCTTATTTTACATTTTTATTAATCCTAACAGCAATTTTTTGTAATTGAAACCAAGAAATAAAAGATCTAAGTATACAGTTTGATTGTTCGTCACCAAGTGGCACCATAATATTATGTACAGTACCATTAAATCCCACGACGACAATTTATTTAATTTATGGTTTTTGTCACTGTGTACTACTTTTGATATCATTTTGTTATTTATATCACATCAATACTATACTAGGTTCTGCCCTCTAGTTGCATTAATCATGTAGATATTACAATTGTATTATCAGCGGATACAGATACTATGATGTAACAAAATGTTTGGTTTCTAACTCTCATATGGTATTCCACTAAGAATTTGTTTTCTTTACCTGTGAAATGTTATAAAAACTTAATAGATATTGTATTAATTGTGGAATAACTTTGTAAAATGACTAAAGAAGATTAAATAGAAAGTTAAAGTATTTGAGTTTTGCTTTGAAGAGCAGACTTCTGATTTTTTTATATTATGTAGATACATAATTGTTTCTGTTTTCGTTTATTTTATTTTGTTTTATTATAAAACAGTTACATACGTTAAATTTACAACTTAGCTAGAGTTAATGAAGTGTTACATGCATTTGTGAATATTTATTGCTGTAATGATTACATTTTTCAATGAACGATTGGAAAAAAGCACCATCGGTCCCATTTGAGCTAAAAATAAAAACATAATATCAGAAGTAAGAACCTATTAGGTATAAAATTCAATTACCTATTAATAATGTTTTGTATTTTGCAAGAAACTCCACATCTTCGGGTACTGTCTCGCAGAAAATGCTTACAAATTTGGTCCATGATATGGTAAAATTGTACTTTATCAAACCTAAAAATACTATTTATGTATCAATTTTCTCTTGCATTAAAAGCTAATTTCTCTTACCAACTTGAATAAAAATCCTCTAGATTAAAATCAGAATTTCTCTTAAAAAATAATTTCTTCTTTGACATGGTTGTAGGTAAATCGTATGCTATTTTAAAACCCCAACCATGGGCAAAGATGGTTGTATAATTTAACATGTTAATTCTACCATTTAATCGCATCTTAAAATAAAAAATGTTTGAACACAAAAAAAATGAAAAAGGAATCAAAATTCATTTTTATGACTTACAAACCATATAGCCTTAGGAAGAAATAACACTTTACGTTTAATCCTACCACCTCTATGATATTCTTCTTTTTCTTCACTTGGATTATTAATTTGTTCAGTTAAAATAGAGCAATAAAAACAGAGAGCACTGATAAAAATTATGAATAACAGATTCGGTTTCATATTTTAATTTAAAAAGTTAGACATATCGTTCTGGACGATTTTGACTGATGCTTAGCATTTTACCAAAAATGGTGCAGTTTACACATATATTTAACACATTGCGTAACTGGTTCATTAAACTTTGAATGCCTTTTTTCTCGAAGAAAGTGTTAATTCTCTTACAATCAAGCAAAAAAGTTTTTCTTTAATAAACGCTAATTTTGAAGAATAATTTGCTTAAAATTTCAACCCACCCTAAAATGTACAAAAAGCATTCCCAGTTCTTAGATTATAATGGTAATATGTAGTTTTATATGCTAACTTAATTACAATGAAACATTAACAGTAATTAATAAGGTATTCAAAGGATGAAATTTTCTGCCTGATGGCAGCTTTCAGGATCAATATCACAAGTGTCTGCAAATGTGGATAAATTGAAAGAACCGTAACTGGTACCGGAAAAGATTCATTAATAAACAAGTAATTAATAAATTAAAATTCATTAGTTTCTTACCTTTCAATAATACGATATAATTGACAAATCATCCCGCATGAATTTTGAGATAGAACGGATCTAATTCGATAACATGTCACCCACAAAATGCAATCGTAATAATTATTTCTGATGGGGCTGTATATGAAAGAAAAATATTAATGCCAATTAACTTACTGAAGTAATCACCTACATAAAAATATTGTAATAATCAGTTATTAGTAATTACTCTTTCAATAAAGCGTAGTGACTTTCTAAACTTCTTTTGAAAAAGTTGCGTCGGCTTGACAGGGTTGTTGGCAAGTTCCAACTTGTTTTAAAACCCCATGCGTGTCCGAAAACCGTGGACCATCGCAGTAAAGGTTCATAGCCGTTTATACGAACCTGAAATTGGCATCTTGTTTTAAATACAGGTAAATAAACGGTGTCTTGGTAGTTATTACAAAAAATTTACTGTCTTTTACAAAAACCACCCTTCTTCTTAATCTATTTTTATGTTCGGTAAAACATAAGGGCACAATCAAAGTAAAGAAAACTATAAATGGTACTACGTTCTGCACTACTTTCATGATCAATAAGTATCTACTAACTAGCCAACGATATTGAAAATTTGTTAAATATATATAATAGCAGATGTATGATGTGATTTTCGCAGTTTATCTAAAGCAATTAATGAAGACCTTTATTTAATTACCAATAACTGTCTTCCCGTTTGATTTTTGTTTGGTAGATATGTTTGTGAAGATATATGCATATACTTAAAATGACCCTGCAAATATTTTTTATCGAAGATGTGTAGAATCTGATGCATACTGTTAGAAAATTGTCACATCATATCTTTTTTACTGTTATAAGCGTACAATGTTTGTTAAAGGAATTATATGTTTATTACTTTGACAAATATTGAACGTTTTGGTAAACTTGAACGTTCAGAATTTTATTTTTTGTGGAATTCCATTAGTTCACACATACTTATCAACAAGAAGGGTAGATGTTATTTATTATACTTTTGCCAGTTTAGGAATAAATGTAAATGGATTTTGTTTACTTAATTTTAATCTACTTGGTGATTGATGGTGTAATTTGTGAAGAGAATAAATTCAGAAAAAATCCACTTTTGGATAGAAGAAAAAGGTATGTGGCTTTCCCAAAAGGCAGCACTTTTGTAGTAAGTTAATTCAGATGTACAATAAAAGTAGAATCAGTAGCTGAAATGCTTTTAGATTAATTTGACGATTACCAAACCATTGCTGGCGAATATAACCAACCCAGTGACCAATTTTTTGGGAGAATGTGATGTTCCATTTCCCCTACCTACAAAAGAAGACGTTTTAAAGGCAAAATTATCCAAAAAGAAACCATTGCACTATAGACAAAGGCGCGATTTGTATTTTCATTTAGAAGACGCATTAAAGGCGTAAATTTTAATAAAAATGTACCTACGCAGGGCAGACATATATACAAAATCTTTTTTTTTAGAATGGGTTTAAACGGAAATTCTTGTGTCAAAAGATTACTTTGCGAAGCTAAGAATTCACTTCCTCCTACAGGAAAATCCGTCGTGGCCGATTTACTATCATCCATTTTTGAGTAATCATTTTTCGGTTTTGTATATCTACTAAAACTAAAATGTAAAGATGCCGAACGTTTTGGTTCTCTGTTTTAGCTTCTACGATGTTGATAAATACAATGATCATGATCATAAAAACTTTTGCGACCCGAAAGTTTTTGAAAATTGCGATATTTCTATCCTTGGACTTCTATATTATAGCTTGAATGTAGCTAAACAAACAGAAGAATCGGAAAATGGTCTATGATAAGCTAATGTCTGCATTTGGTCTTTCACTCTGTCTTTTACCTTATAACTTACCTATATAAACGACATGTGTATGTAGCAAATAAATAAAAGAATTGACTAAATATTGCACCTTGTGTTTCAAGCAAATCAATATCTAGCGGTAATATATCTCAAGTATATAAGCTTCCTGGTGAATCTGTTGATAGCATTCCTACTATTTACTATGTGAAATGAAGACCAGTAATTTATATTTGCTGTTTTTCATAAACGGGCTGGTGAACTCGACGCTAAAGAGATCAAGGAGTAATTTGTTTCTTGATATTAAAAAAAGATACTTGTCATTTCCAAAAGGAACGAATTTTGTGGTAAATGCTTCAACTACAGCATATATTAGCGATCTAATTGTAAGTAAATTGAAAAATTTGTTTTAGATTAACTTGAGTTTGGTGAAATCCCTATTGCGAGATTCTCCTCCAATAAATATGCTTCTAGAATGCGATGTACCCTTCCCGCTTCCCTCAAAAGAAGATTATATTCGTGAAAAACATGATAAAAATTCCCGGTACATCCCACATCATTTCCGGCAGCGCAGGAAAATTTATATGCAGTTGGAACATGCTTTGGATGTGTACGTATTAGGTGTCTAGTGATTACCATTTTTTGAGTATCACAATTGAAAGCATCTATCAATATCATAAGCTTCTGTTCGAGTCCAATGATCTGATATAATTTAAAAGTTAAATAACTGACACACCAAGTGTATGTATTTTGCTTACTTACCTTTATTGCACCAGTTTGGGCATGGATGGAAAAGCATGCTTGCAGAGATTCCTTTGTGAATTCGATGCTCATAGTGAGATACTCCCTTATGGTAATGTTTTGGTACTTGATATACTGAGAGTAATTTTTGAGTAAGTTAATTTTGGAATCATTTGATTAGCGGTTATTTTTAATTTTTATATTTTGTAGTTTGAAAGGTTTCGATAAATATTATGGAAATTATTTTGACGATAAATGCACTGAGAAAATGTTCGAGAATTGTGAGGTTTCGTTCTTGGATTTACTTTTAAAAAGTTTATAGGAGCATTGGGGTAAATGGTTTAATAAAATTATAAGACTTCTCGTTAAGAAAATATAATTTATTATTGTGGTTAGAGGAGTGATGATAGTTGTCAGTCTCATACAATGTCTGTATTTAATAATTACAAAGTTAGCTTTTGATCTAGTACGTTAATAATAATACTTACAATTGGATAATTACAAATAAAAATTAAATAACTTAATTATTTACGTATTTAAGGCACTTTACAACTTTTTTTATGTGTTTATAATATGCGTTAACGTACCTATACATATATAGATTTGTTATACATAAAATAAAGTAAATGTTTAAACTTAAATATTTACAACTATTAGATAACTTATTGTTTATGATCTGTACATTTTTTTTGATTTTCAATCTTAATATTTTCTTTTTAATGTTCATGTCGTCATCTAGAAAATTATATGAAAATTTTATCAACCAGCGGTGCAGCATTCTGCCAGAAATATTTTCTAAAGATGACTTATTACGTTTTGTCACTTATATCATCGATCTTCAAGGCAAAGGGGTAGAGAATTACAGGGTTCGTATTCATGGGGACGTGTGGATTGTTCGCAGAATTGATCGGGTTGCAACATTTCTTTTCCTTCGATACACATTATATCACGACGCCTCATCACCTTTTCACCCTTAAAAATATTCAAAATTATTGTAACATTTGAATTCGTACGTGTGTCTAATACTATTATTAGATTGGATAGATTTTTGTGTGAAAGAAAACGTCTATTGGACGATTTTCCGCTAGAGGTCTCGGTCAGTAATCGCGTGGAAACGAGAAGGAAACACTCGAGGAAAATTTAACCGATAGATGTCCACGGTATGACTGTAGATAGATGGCATTCTAGTCGGAAAATTGAAACAAAAGAAGCTAACAAAAGCCGGCAGATGTCGTCCTATTTATGTATGGGAAATATTTTAAAATATTTCAATAAAAATGATATACACATATACAGGGTGGATAGAGATGAAAGAATTTTGTATGTAACAAAATTTTTATGGGGATACATTGTTGTGTTAATTAAATAGTTCGTGAATGTAGAATGTAGAATGTAATTATTACCTTTGAAAAACAGGTAACAGGACAAGGATGCCACGGTCCTGTCCACCAATGGAAGGGACAAATCTCAATGTTACAGGCTCTCATTAGTTTTTCCGGCTTTTCTGCAGGATCGCACCAGGTTTCGTCTACAATACTCGTTGGTATAGATGAGCCCGTGATCATTTCTTGACAAAGGGGTTTGCGATGCTGCGTCCCACCGCCGCAAGTTACCGAACATTGCGACCATTCGCTTAACACCCATGAGTATTTTAAAGTTTTTGGTTCTCTCTTTGAAATTGTGTACTGATATTTGACACCGGGGTTTGGGGTCTTACCTTTGAATATAACCTGGAATTATTCCGAAAATGATACTTCAGATACGTAGCTAAATAGGTAAAACTGAAAACATAATTAATACGTATTTTTTTAAATTTCGTTCCCTAATAAACCTGCAACGAGTCACAGGATGATTGGGCAATAAAACCCAGGTGAAATTAGGGATCCATGTGGATACTTTGACGAAGTAAAAATTTATTAACGAAACATTTTACATGTTCAGATACATTCCTAGTATCACCAGTGTTTTATTGTCCAATTACCAATTCCTCGAATAGATATGTACATGATTAACCATATTTATTATGGTAGACTTTGCGCCACCCTGTAGTAATATGCAACAGCGTGACATAAAACATTTAAAATTTGGTATAATTGATATTTTCTTTTATGATCGAATTACAATTTTTTTTGTTTCCTTTGTCTTAATATAATAATTATTTATATTAATTTTTTTGCATTCTTTGACCTATTTAATTTATCAATCCTTATTGATAAAGTCATTTATTTTATAACCAGAATGAGGAACAAGCTTTGATAAAGTCGTCTAAAACGTGGATGGCTGTGATTCATGAGTTCACGAACAAGCCGTATCTTGCACGTCATGTCCTTGTCCATGTCCTTGACGATAGTGTGTGTAACTATCTCAGTTTCGTTCGATGTATCTTTTAAGAAAGAAATCGTGGTCGTGTTTACTATTAATTTAGACTATTGTTTTAATAATTGGCAAGTCGAGTGAAATAACAAGGAATTTGTTAAACAATTGGAATTGTGATATAGTCAATTTGTGTGGTTGTGTTTGTTATCAAGTTACTCTTTTGTTTTAATTAATAGATGACAATCGTAAAAGGTAACGGCGTCTATGGATTTAAATGACAGAAATGGTATATCAATTATCTTTATGTGGCACTGTGGAAATGATGCGTAATTTTTTGCAGAGTCGCGGTTGTAACGTCGGGAAATTCGCTGATTTGATCGGTATTACTGTGTTTTCTCGAACTTTGGAATTATGATATTGTGGAATTACTGTTATTGGATAACTATGAGATAGTAGTTTGATTAGCAGAGCTGAAATTTTCCTGCCACCTACTGGTGAGTCACGATTTCCTTGATTGAGTTGCTTTAATTGAATTTGTTGTGTTTTATAATTTATTTCTATTAAACATTGGATTGTACGAGGGTGGATTGATAAGTTTCCGGCCTAACCAAGAGATGACGCCACTAGGCCTACCTTGAGGTGACATTCTATAGTACCATCCTTGGATAGCTTGTAGCTATAGTTTCAGCCCGATCTCCTTGCTAGTGTAGGTTTGACAGCACGCTGAACAAGACGCCTCTGTGGTTTTCGTAAAAATGGAAAAGCAGGAAAATCGTGCTGTCATCAAATACTTTTATTTGAAGGGGTTAACGCCGAAGGAAATTAAAAAAGAGATGGACTCAACACTGGGGACATCCTCCCCGTCATATTCAACCGTTAAGCAGTGGGTTTCCGAGTTTAAAAAGGGTCGTGTGAGCACCTCTGATGGGCCTCGCTCAGGACGCCCCGTTGAGGTCACAACTCCAGATATGATCGAAAAAATTCATCAAATAGTGCTGGGAGACCGCAGATTGAAAGTGCGTGAGATAGCTGAGACCTGTAAGATGTCATATGAACGTGTGCAACATATTTTGCACCAACATTTGCATATGGAAAAGCTCTGTGCAAGATGGGTGCCGCGTTTGCTAACAGTCGACCAAAAATTGATTCGAAAAAACATTTCTACCGCAAATTTGTCATTGTATAAGCGTAATCCAAGCGAATTTTTGCGTCGATTCGTAACCGTTGACGAAACGTGGGTCCACCACTACACTCCTGAAACCAAAGAACAGTCTAAACAGTGGATTGGACCAGGGGAACCAACTCCAAAGAAGGCAAAAACAATTTTTTCGGCGAACAAGGTTATGGCTACTGTTTTTTGGGATGCAAGAGGTATTATATACATTGATTACCTTGCAAAGGGTAATACTATCACTGGTCAATACTACGCAGACTTATTGCAACGTTTGAGCCACGAGGTGAAAATTAAACGACCTCATCTGGCGAAGAAAAAAATCTTGTTTCATCACGATAACGCACCAGCGCACACGTCAATCGTTGCGACGGCTAAAATCAACGATCTAAAGTTTGAATTGATGCCGCACCCTCCTTACTCTCCAGACCTAGCCCCGAGTGACTATTTTCTGTTCCCTAATCTCAAAAAATGGCTTGGCGGTAAGAGATTTGCGGACAATGAAGAAGTAATCGAAGCTGTAAATGGTTATTTTGAGGAGCTTGACGAATCAGTCTATAGAGATGGCATTAATAGACTGGAACACCGCTATGAGAAATGTATCAGCCTTGGAGGAGATTATGTTGAGAAATAAAAAAAAAAATTTTTAAAAACCTTGTTTTTCTTGGTCAGGCCGGAAACTTATCAATCCACCCTCGTATAATAATAACTTTATCACGATAAACTTTGAATAGTTTAATTGTTGAAATAATGCATTTGGGAATCACTGGAAGCTTTTGAAAAATCGTAGCTTTTTATCCATTACATCTATTTTATTGTGTATCTTGTAATGGAGTTATATTTTATGTTTATGTTCGTAATACGTATTAAGAGACGCTGAAACTTCGTTCGATAACATTTTTACAATCTATCGATGCGAATGATGGGCAGATAAATACTTACGTAAATAACTATGGGTTCTTTTATGGGACCTGGAATTCTTATCTTTTCCCATTCGTTGTCTCGTTCGTAAAGAGCTTGCGCCCCCGCCACCGTGTACTCCCCCGCCAGCGTTATATGTCTGCAACAAACAATTTGTCCTTTGTGTCTTTTGTTTTTTTTGGAACAACACTGTTGGTTCCAAAACAAAAATTATTGCAATTCGAGAAACTATAGGGTTGTTCGGAAAGTCATTTCGTTTTTTTTTGTGGAAATGAAAGATAGTTTTCGTATAATAAACAAATACTTTATTAAATTATACATTGACCGTTCTGGTCCAACACCTTTTGCCATCTTTCTGGTAGTAGCATAATTCCACGCTCATAAAATTTTTGGTCTTTGCTGGCAAAAAACTGATCGAGGAGGTTTTTGACCTCCTCATTTGAGGTGAAGGTTTTACCGTCTAAAAAATTTTGGAGTGACCGGAACAAATAATAATCCGATGGTGCCAGGTCTGGAGAATATGGTGGGTGTAGCATTGTATCCCATTCAAGCTGTAAAAGCTTTTGGCGAGTGACCAAACTTGTGTGAGGTCTCGCGTTGTCTTGGTGAAACACTACACCTTTCCTGTTGATTAGTTCTGACCTTTTCTGTTGAAGTGCATCATTCAGTTTGTCCAGCTGATGACAGTAGACTTCCGAATTAATCGTTGTGTTATCCGGTAAAAGCTCAAAAAAAACGATTCCTTTAAAATCCCACCAAACAGACAGCATCACCTTTTTTTGGTGAATATCGGCTTTGGAAATGGTTTGAGCCGGTTCATCTTTTTTGCTCCATGACCTCTTGCGTTTGACGTTGTTGTATACAACCCATTTTTCGTCCCCAGTGATGATGCGCTTCAAAAACGGATCATTTTCGTGACGTTTGAGAAGCGAATCGCAGACGTCAATGCGGCGACACAGATTTCTCTCTGTGAGAACATGGGGAACCCATACATCGAGCTTCGAGGATAATCCCAGGCCTTTCAAGTGGTCATAAACTGTTGAATTTGATAAATTTAACCTCAATCCGATCTCACGTGTTGTTATTCGCCGGTTCACATCAACTAATGCCTTTATCGCGTCTTTATCAGCTTCAACCGGCCTTCCCGAACGTGGTGCATCTTCGACATCAAAATTGCCGGATCGAAATTTAGCGAACCAGTTCTGGCACTGGCGTACTGTCAACACACCTTCTCCATACACATCAGTCAATTTCTTTCTGGCTTGAACAGCATTTTTACCCTTTCTGTAGTAAAACAGTAAGATATGTCGAAAATGCTGCTTATCGCTCTCCATATTTAAAAGGGCACCAACCAAAAACTACTGCGTAGAATTAATTGGAATTTTTCACACACAAGCCTTGCTATATGAGCTCTCAAAGCATATAAAAATTATACGGCTTAAATGTGAAGTTGGGTGCAAAAGAATACAACTAAATCCTCTGTCGGGAAAAAACGAAATGACTTTCCGAACAACCCTATATAAATCAACTGTTGTCGTTAAATTCGTATTCGTTCTCTTGATATGATGTTGATTACTTACCATTGAAATTAGTTTTTTTTTTTGTATTTAAGATTCATTTACCTTTGCTATAGTTTACCTTTTACCGTTGAGGTAGAATTTCTTTGAGGTGACGCTTCCAATTCCGATGTAGTTTTCCGTTTGGTTCATTTCTTCGACGTAAATATTTCTAGCGTCGGCCGGCACAGTGACGACTTCTTTGTAGTCAGCCTCGAGACTCTGTTTTGTAAAAATTCCTTCGATGGTGTTGCATTTCGTGCCGTCTCCTCGACATATTCCACAAGCGTCTTCTTGGGCAGCCGAGTCGACCACCCAGTCGCACCCGACCTTCTGTAATTCGTAGTACATAATAACGAGATTATTAGCGAGTATCTTACCCGCGATCGTATTCGCTATTCATCTCCGGGGAATCGTAAAACTTCCTTTTATATATTAAAGATTAACAGATAAATGAAGCGTTTATAAAGGAGAACAGGAGGAGGACAAGGAGGAGGTGCCGGGCCGCAGCCGCGGGCACGAAACCCTTCTCGGAACGTATAATGGAAATTTATGAAGTTATTGAGCATCAGAAAGTTTGGAGCGCGCAGGAAAAATCCGGAGAAAGAAGGTCTAATTAAGAGTTCAGAAAGTTATTTAAAAAACTGCACGGATTTGACGAGAACATCATACTTGTTTTTTTTGACAAGTGAATTTGATCAACTTGATCAAGTTAATAAGAAATAGGCGAGATGGGTCGGCAGGACATCTTCTCAGGCATGAAGGTCTAGTCAGAGACATATTAGAGGCAGAAACAGGAGTTAGGAGGAGTAGGGGTAGACTTAGATTAGATTACTGTTCACAAATAGGTAACGATGTGGGATGTTCTAGTTTTAGGGAAATGCGAAGATTAGCTCAGGATAGGAAAGAGTGGAGATGAGTGTCCAACTAGTTTTAGGACTGACGACCTTATGACGACGATGATGATGATGATACGTAATAGAGGACTCTGTGGAAGTCAATAAGAAATAGGCGAAATAGGTTGGTAGGGCACCTTCTCAGGCATGAAGGTCTAGTCAGAGACATATTAGAGACAGAAACAGGAGTAGAGGTAGACCTAGATTAGATTACTGTTCTGGGATTTTCTAGTTTTAGGGAAGTGCGAAGATTAGCTCCGGATAGGAAAGAGTGGAGATGCGTGTCCAACAGTCTTAGGACTGACGACCTTATGACGATGATGATTATCATACGTAATATGAGACAGAAGGTGTTATAAAAGCTTTTACATTATGTCATTTATATCGTCGTGTCGCGTTGCATCGCAAGGTGCCTGTAATGTAAGGAGTCTTGAAGGAAGATAATACCTTTTGATTGTTGAATGCAAAATGCCTGTTCATTATGGTGTTACGATAACGTTAGCTGAAGTAGTATCATATTCCGAGCGATAACACGATTACGAACGCTCTTCTTGACGAGTGAATAGCAGATGCAGAATTAAAATAAATGTTCCTGCTAACCAAGTCTGATGTACATGCAAATAAGGATATGAAAAGGAATACACTGGGTAGACATTTCTTCTTTTTCTTCTCTTTCAAATTGTCGTCAAAAGTGTTTAATATGAATATAATATGTTGGAAACGCGTAGCTTTTTGTTAATCGGGATTCAGTTTAAGCGTTGTATAAAAATGAGCATTTTCAAACAGTCCCTGTTTTCTACGTAATTGCTGTGCTGACGCAAGAACGGGAGGGAATAATGAGGAAAACGTTCAGTGCTTAAACGGTGCATCGGAATTCATTTTCGAATGTTAACTCGAATAAAATTTTCACAAGAGAGAAGAATAACAGCTGAAACTAGTTCACCTTTTATCAAACGAAAACTGTAATAGTTGAATTGTAACTCATTGGGTTGGAAGAATCCTGGAATACTGTAGGTATTACGATACTACTTCAGGAGTTACTTAAACGATTTTATAACGAATTGTTCAAGTTATTCATTATCATTTTGATTGCATACTTGTAAGTTTGATGTAATTTTCAGTAGAACATTGAAGCTTTCTCTGAAATCACTCGTTAACACCCAGTAATTTTGCGTCTCCTCTCAGTAATGTGTTGAGATTATTAGATGTCAGTAATGATTGGGGAAATGACGCGAATGTACAAATAAACCAACTTTTGCTAAGGAACGCTTTGTCCGTAAGGCTTATCCGAAATGTTGTGGAATAATTCCGAATGTTCGACGGATCCGGTAGTGAGTGGCACAATATTCTTAAGATCCGTAAAAACTGATAAGGAGAACCGTTAAAGATTAATAGGTAAATGTTGTTGCTCATTTGATTGAAACGTATTCCGTTTTAGTAGCATCGAGTCGTTTCTTTATAAATCGAAACCTCTTGAAATGTAATCAGTTCGGGCTTTAAAGAATCAGTTAGAAAATTGAACATCAACTTGTCGTGTTTTCACAAAACCTATAAAGCTGAAAAATCAATTTCCTGGGAAAAACGAGACTTAATAAAGAACCCGTTTCGAACCGAACTACGTACGAAACGCCAACACGGTTTGTAGACTTCCTATGCTTATAAATTTAATATACACGTAGTAAGCGAACCCTTTGGGAAATATGCTTTATAATTTTAAATGCATCACTTTTTGCAAGCGCGAAAGTTACATGGAAATTTCACAACAACCTGCTCACACAATTTATACGTCAAACGTTCCAGCCAATTTTAACAAAACGATCGAATTTTATTTCTTACCAAATATGTCGAAAAGCGTCAATTCCGTCCCGCGTTAAAATTTTAGTGTAGGTTAAGGTATAAATAAATTGCGTTCAGACGATTTTCGTTGCCGTACGTACACTCTGCAATTAAATAATATGTACTTTTCCGAAGTTTTCTTTAAGAAATTTATTACGTTTCATCCTTCCAACAAGGGATGTTGAAAGGTTATTCTTTTTTATTTGGTGTCACCGATTCCACGGGACTGAACCTTGACGAAACTCTGGTTTAAACTAGAGTGGGTGGATCGGCTTGCGAGTTTCGATGATTTAGGTAGTCGGACCATAGGTTCAACCATAATGGGGGGGTTCTTGAAGAGAAACCAGACTAAGACAAGTCCCTGAAAGAGGGACTGGCCACCTTATGATGATGATGATGATTTAATATTAAACTGTTGTATGTATTGCAACAGATATCTACGTACCGTTTTGTAATAGTAAATCCTAAGATGTTGTTTATACGTTTTGGTCTTTATTACATCTTCATGTATTTATTATTGTGTCTCATCTGGTCTGTTCGGTCGTTTGTATTACCCAGTTAGGTAGAGACGAAGTACGTATAAAAATTTTATATTTATTACGTAGAGAAGTGAGCAGTGGGTCGTGGTGTAAACGAGCATCTCTAGAAGTAAATCAATGCGCCATTGACAGTTTTGATATATGAAAGTCTACCTGCCACGTAACGGAGCCGAGCAGCTCCTTCGAGGAGGTGAATTTCGGCCACTTATAACACAGTCACGTATGCCTTAAATTTTGAAAATCTGACGCGGCACAAGCAGTCATTTTCGGTAATGTTTACGATAGAACATTTGTCATATACACTTTCGTTGGTGGATCGAATACGTTTCGCCATTGGTGGGATTGATTTATGGAGTAATATTTGTACCAACGATAAATTACGAACATTAAAATTATCGAATTATTACAATGAGCGTAGTGAACGCCATCCGCCAGCCACAAAATGTAGCAATTTTCTATGGCTGACCTTCAGCATCAAGCTCTTTGCAGTTATTCATCAATGAAACTTTGAATATTTGGTCTTTATTATTATGCTTTTGGACTTACCCGACAAATGCCAGAAATGCAAACGTCTCGAGTGCCGACATTGCAGGGTGTTCCGTCGAGAGCGTGCTCTCCCCAAGGAACGATAATGGTGTCGTTCAGGTCGCTACAGTACAATTCGCAGGGTTCGTCTGGAAAAAAAAAAACAAAAAACCGATGTGAAACCCCGATGGAGTACACTCTGAGGAAAAGACTCGGCCGACTCTGCAATCTCACATAAGATTTAAAAGGGGTAATTGCATCCGGCCCGAGCAAATGGCTTGAGGAAAATCTTATGTAAGCCTTTAGGTCCTTATTGTCTTAACCTTTTAAGAAATCCCGAGCAGAAGAATTTACCGATTCAGACAAAAAAGTAGACAAATTGGCAAAGGCTTTCGCGGCCAGTAGGTGAACTGATACTGTTTTGATTCGGATCGAAGGGCCGTCGTCGGTTGGAGTTGCTTCCTAATGTTTGGCTAGCACGAGTGGCCAAATTCTTCAGAGATCCCTCCATTACCGATGCTGGATGTGGACAATCTAAAGGCCAAAATATGGACAGTCCACATTCAGCATGAAGAAGCTAGATACTCGTGCTCATAAACCGTTAAGAAGCAACTCTAACCGACAACGGCCTATAGACCGTCCACATCCAGCATCGGAGGTGGAAGGATCCCTGAAGAACTCTCATGTGGACAGTCCACATTTAGCATCGGAGATGGAAGGAACTCTGAGAAGCTCGCTACTCGCTACTCGTACTAGAGAAACGTTAGGAAGTAACTCCAACTGACAAAGGCCTTTAAACTGGCCACATCCAGCATAGAAGATGGAAGGACTTCTTTAGAAGCTCGCCATTTGTACTAGCGTTAGGAAATGTTAGGAAACAATTCCAATCGACAAGGGACTTTAAACCGTCCACATCCAGCATCGGAGGTGGAAGGACCTTTGAAGAAGCCGGACGTGGACAGTCCACATCTAGCATTGGAGATGGAAGGAACTCTGAGAAGATCGGCACTCTTGCTAACGGACTTTAGACTGTCTACATCCAGCATCGGAGATGGAAGCAACTCAAACTAACAACGGCCTTTAGCCTGTCCATATCTAGACTTGGAGATGTACGCACCTCTAAAGAAGCTGACCACTTGTACTAGCGAAATGTAAGGAAACAATTCCAACCAACAACGGCCTTTAAACTGTCTAAATCCAGCATCGGAGATGGAAGCAACTCCAACCGACAATGTACCTTGAGCCTGTCCACATCCAGCCTTAGTTGTAGTGTGACAATTCCTTGATTGCCTAGCCGTTTTTTGGTCTTTAATTTTGATCGGTGTACGCTGCTAGTGTTTTCATAATTATGATGCGAAAATGTCGAACTAATAGATTCATGCAGATAATCTATCGGTTTCGATACGATAATTAAAATAATCATCGGACAGGAATCGTTGTTGTATATAGATAATAATTATTTAGATGGCAGCAATTATGACGGTTCTATTAATAAGTCCGTAATGGGCACGCGACAAGTAATGCAATAAATATACCGTCATTTGGACATGTTTGATTAATGGTCTGTTAATCGTGGAATCCATTTTATCACGTACCCGAGTATTTACCATATTATACATTCGTAAGCCGAATCGAACTACTGACTCGCCATCTATGAAATTTGTATTCAGCCGAGATCGAAACTATGTTCAATTTGATATTTCGGAAGACAGTTGTTGTGGAAATTCCGCTCTGACGGGAATTTTAAAATATGGATACGAGAAAAAAAGGGGGAACTCAAATATCAGCTGCAGGTTGAATTTGAAGTGGCGTAATAAAAAATTCCATGTGAAGTCCCTGATACCTTTTAGCATCAAGCTGCTGGATCTGAAGCGGCTTTAAAAAATGCGAACCTTTTTCTAACAAGCATGGAATACCTAAATAATACTGTATTATATGTACATTGTACACACATCAAGCGGACCCGAGCATTCTCTATGAGACTGGAAACATGTTTAAAACATTTTTTAGAGCTTCTATTGTCCAAAAACATCTAGACTTAAGAATAAAGTACAATGTATGCCAGTCGATACAATCACGTAAGACTTTAGGCATTTGTCGTCTCAATTAAGAAAGCGTTAAATTTGGTACGAATGAAAAAAAAAAATAATGTCACATTTTGTATCTGTAATGATTCACTGATTTAATTTTTGAAAGGCTTGAGTTATTAAATCACCGAAAATAGTGTTGTAAGCCCATTTAGGTGTACGAGAAGTTTCGTTAAATTATAATGGTTTAGTTGCACTTATACATATATTTACCTTGGTCAAAATATGGTAGCCAAGTGTATTTTTTTCCGTTGTATGTGTGGTTGTTGTAACTGGTGCATTGTAGTGCTCTGAATGACGGCTGATCGACGGGGCATGGTTCGATGTTGCACATTTTGTATCGGCGCCTCTCGCCAATACAATATTTGCCGCCGCCCGAAGGTTTCGGATGATCGCATTTTCGATGCATTATGGAAACTCCGGAGCCGCACGTCCGTGAACACTCGCTCCAGCTGCTCCATTCTCCCCAACCACCGTCGATTGCTACGGGTGGATCAACCACAGGGACGCACTTTTGATCTTGACACCACTACAAACAAAAATACTGACATATACGAGGTGTCTCAGGGAGGTTTTTACGAAAGCATGAATTTCTTCACTGAAATTGTCAAAAGCAAATCTTAGTGGTTCTCTAATAATCTAATTTTGAGGGACTGGAAACTTGTAACCAAATTTTTTGTTGGAAAGTGAAGTTAAGCCCCAAGGTGTTGCAAAGTATCAACGGTTTCTTGTTTCTTTTTTTTCAAATATTCTCGAGAGTTTGTTGAAAAGTTAAGTGCCTCCTGATGTGTCCCGGGAAGTTTAAAACCAGGGGGATTTGTCACGTTAATCCGACTAACACTGCTGCGTCGTAATTTATAACAAGGAGGTTTTAGAAAAGTTTAGTCAATCCGTTGAGACTACATAGTATAACTGTAACGTTGCCCTACTTTGTATTAAGCAAGTGTACCTGTAAGTAGACTTCTATCAATATCAGCATACTCGGAAAAAGTTTTTCAGTAAAAATAAATGCATAGTAGAGCAATTGAGAAGTAGTGTTGTAGATGGACATTGGAAATATCGAAGATAGAAAACGTTAGAAATAAGAGCGGCATTGGACAAATTAGGAAAAAGCGAAACCGAATGCTAGGAGACCTTCTAAGTCATGAAAGAATTATTGGAGAAATATTAGAAGATACAGGATTAGAGGACCAGAGCAACGTCTAAATTAAATTTCTGTTGGCAAATAGTTAGTGGTGTGAGATGTTCTAGTTTTTGGGAAATAATGATAATGAAATGAGATGAACCTAAGCAGCAGATCTGCCGTATTTTCTCTGACTTTTTGGCATTAGTACTTGAGCAAAGATTCATTGAACTTGCTTGGATTTTCTAGGATACAACCAGAAATCCGTGACCCATCTAGGTTTACCAAGCAGAACCTAAGTAAGATATCTACCGTATTTTCTGACATTCTTTCAGCGTTAGTGCTTGGCCAAAGATTCGTTGAACTTGACTGGATTTTCTAGGTTACAATCAGAAATCCGTGACCCTTCTAGGTTTCCCAAGAAGAACCTAAGTAGGATATCTACCGTACTTTCCGACATTCTTTCAGCGTTAGTGCTTGACCAAACATTCGTTGAACTTCACTGGATTTCTAGGTTACAACCAGAAATCCTTGATCCTTTTGAATTTCCCAGACTATCCACGATCTGTTCTTTATATTCAATCGTGAAATTGATATTTTTAATTGCAATATCTGGTCGTGATTGCTAATCGTATCCGGTTGAATTGTTTGTGTAACGCAATTGGCAAAGTTGGAGATGCGGTCAAACGTTGCGCGACACGCGGGTGATTTATATGTTTACCTTGTGCTTTCCACAGTGAGTTCCCGGAGCCGCCGGTCGCAGTTGCGAAGTACAAGTGTTGTTAACTTCGCACCAAAGTTGAGAACAAATTTCCGAAGGCGACGAGCAAACTTTAACTTCGGTCCCGAACTGAAGTCGACATTGGAAGTCGGCATTGTACATCGCTCCGGCCGGCAGTTTCGGATATCGATAGTCCTTCAGTTCTTTCGGTTCGTCTTGCAAACATTCCCCGAGTCCTTTGCTGGAAATTGAAACCGAGATAGAGATTAAATACGTTAGGTATTATGACTAGTATGTGGCGACTTACTCCAAGAATGTCGTCACATCTCGTCTGCTGCACTTTGACCAGCTAACACCTACGGTGTCTACTTCGAAACTCGGTGTCATTACGTGTAGTCTGTTACCATCCTTGCCTTTGCAACCGATCTTTTCCGTATCGTGAAACATGCCGAAACTATAAAAAGAAAAACCTGACAATTACTGATTACATTTGCGAACTAAACAGTTCATTGAAAAGACCAGCCACAATCGTGATTCGCCTTGAATGAGTAAGACCTGTCACCACTTAATAGCTGCCTCTCCGACCGCAACGCTTGAACGGTATTGCAAATCCTTTTTGTCATGGATGGTCAGTTAAAAGATCAGATAAAGACACAATTATCTTCACTTGTTTTCGTATGATTTAAATCATCATGCAGCATCGAATATAATGCAGCGGCCCGTGATTGTAGATAAGACGCGTTCTTTATTAGGATTTTACTGTCAGAGGACTTGCGAGTTTTATAGCCAAAGGTGAAGGTATTAGTTTAATCAAGATTTACTTTGATTTTTATTTCCGTTCAGATGAGTTTTCGGTGTTCAGTTGAAAGTCGTTAACCGACGGCTAACCTAATGGCTAGCAGAGACAACGACTGGAAAGTGCAAAGGAAGAAATAAGACAAAAAAGGCCAGTGACTACCTGCATGATCTTCATGTAGATATACCCGGTGCGAATTTTGATACGATAAAAAAGACTAATAACAATGTCATACCGAAAACCGGACTGTTCGTCTACTTTGTATGCTAAACGTAAAATTCTCTTCTCCGAAGTAATGTACCGTATACAATAAAGGAAGAGAGATACTAAGACCATTAATTAAGTTTCTCCGAGTCGCAGCGACGGTTACTTCGGAAAACATAAAAGCCGGCTTTACTACCGTGAATTTAAGGGCAGTACCTAGTTTGAAAATGCAACTATAATATTGACGTACACTATTACATCTTCTAGTCCGTCAAAGCAGTCGTCGAAACGAGACAGACTTTTATTGCAAATAACTTGACGGATTAGATTTCGGGATTGCAAGCAGAGATACTTAAAAAACAATGGATTTTTAATTTGTTGCAAAATATAGATGGAAGGAGCTGTAGAGATATATAAACAAAAAGAAGTTTCTTTTACAAATAATGAAGGATGTGGAATGTTCTCACTTTAGGGAAATGTAAAGATTAGCTCAGGATAGGAAAATGTGGAATCTTAGGGCTGACGACACTTTGATGATGATGCAAAAGACTTTTTAGCGAAGGTACAAGATTATTTTTGAGGTCTACATTTGATTACACGTCTTCTCAGGCATGAAGGTCTAGTCAGAGACATATTAGAGGCAGAAACAGGAGTTAGGAGGGGTAGAAGTAGACCTAGATTAGATTACTGTTCGCAAATAGTTAAGGATGTGGGTTGTTCTAGTTTTAGGGAAATGCGAAGATTAGTGCAGAATAGGAAAGAGTGGAGGTGCGTGTCCAACCAATCTTAGGACTAATGACCTTATGATGATTAACGTTAGTTATTTCTAAATGTTCTTAATGAAAGAAATCTTCAATTCAAGTTGTAAAATATAATGTATACTTAAGAGAATGAAGTACGTAAAGAAAAGCTTTTATTACTAACTTGTGACCCATTTCGTGGGCAATTGTATGGGCGAGAGTGATCCCGTTATCTTCGTTAACGCTGCAGCTCTTTTCTTGCTTGCACATTCCTCCGATATGAGCAACTCCGAGGGTACTGCAAGGATGATTGGCCCTGGCACATATGTCCTTCCGCGTTATCAAAATGGCCACGTCGTGATGATAAGGGTCTTTCTCGTCGTGAGGATTAAGACTTTTTTGCCACTTGCAAAAGTTCCGGAGGGTCACGTCCGCATTTACTAAGATGTTTAGCGGCGGATCTGTGTCATTTTCGTCTAAAAGTATTATCTTTACTACCACCACTTTTATGAGATTTCCGATGGTTGGGTCTAGATAAACCGATGATACCTGAGAGGAGAGAAAACAGTTACTAGTTTTACGCAATACTTCCAACGGATACTATTGCCGTTTTAAGACATTAGTTACCTTTCATTACTTAAGTCTAAACCACCACGATTTCGAACTTATTAGTTCTCATCAGCACACCGTTGGTATTTTCAATAAATCGCTAACCAAACCGTCGTAGTGTCATGCTTCCATGCATGCATCTTGATTAATATCAACTAAGTAGTAATTTTGTCGCCATTAGTAGGTATATATTTAGTGCTAACTGTAGTATTTTATAGTGTTTAATAAAGTGAATATAAGTAACTGATAGCAATTAATTAAAGAATACTACAATTACCAGTAAATACTACAAATAATGACATTTGGTCAGTTTCTTGATGTTACAACTTCTTTATGAATTGGTTTATTGTTTCATGATAATTTTTTGATGGAAAGGTCGCGGTATAAACTTCTATCAATTCACACTACCTTAGACAAAAATTTTCAGTCTCTCCGAGTCTTTCAGCGTCTCTGAAAGCGTCTCTTACAATCTGTCACAGTCTCTCAGTTATTGCCTCTGTATGAGAGACTCGAACGATGAAATTGTTAATTCAGAGATTCGAGTCTCTCACAGAGAGACTGAATGAAAAAAACTGAAAAATTGAGAGATTCGAGTCTCCCGTAGAAAGACTGGGATCTCGGAAATATGTTGAACTTAGAAAATTTTAACCATGTCTATCGAGACACCAATTATTGAGAGATTCGAGTCTCTCGTTCAGAGATTCGAGTCTTTCGTTCAGAGACTGGATAGGAAATGAGTACTCTTTATAAGCGACTCGAGTATGTCGTTTAGAGACTCTAAACGGTTTTTTTGACAGTCTCTCTCAGCGACGCCAGAGAGATTCAATGAGAGATGGAGACTCGAGTCTCGTTTTCAGAGACTCTGAGAGTTTGAACATTTTTATCTCGGGTAGACAAATAATTCGTAATATAATTGCATTTGTGCAAATAATTATTGTAAGAAATAGTTACTATTTCCTCAATTTCTGTATAATTTAAGTTCGATTTTTAAAACACAATGCGAACGCATTCTCTCTAATTGCATACCATGTTCATTATAGTCAACATGTAGGTTTCAATATCTTCGTTTTCATGGAAGTCTACCATAGATTGGTCTGCCACTAATAGAGCCTCGACATACCTCGGTTTACTCACGGATCTTTTTGTGCGGTTTAACAATTGTTGCTGTTTGTATTTCTTCATTTTTCTTTTCTGATAGTCCGGTTTCTTTGTTGTTTTTTTCTTTGCATTTCCGGAACGCTTTTCCTGGACGGTCAACTTTCCAACTTGTCTCAACCATTCCACTCTGTAATCAGTGGAAAAATTATTTTTTATCTTGACTTTTATTGGAATGAGGATGGTAATATTTTTCACCTTGTGACATTTGGTTGTTTGAATGGTGTCGTTGTAGTATTTCTTTTTGGTGTGATATTTCGTAAACAAACAGTTATGTGTGTTGCGCTTTACTGGCGGATATTTTTTTCGAAATGTTTTGCGTCATATAATATAATCTTGAAACCCGCAGATGACAGAGAAAACATGTAATTTGTAAACAAAATACCTCAGAGTCCTTAATCCTCTGTGACAGAAATTAAAAGTATTGTCAGATTTACGTTATAAATTTGAGATTATCAAAAATTTTTTTAACAATTTTGTAAGATTAAAGTAAGAGTTATGATCATAATTGAATTGTTAATGCGAACACGGCTGGCGAATGCGAATCATCAACGAAGTGCCTCCAGCCTCTTCACACAACTCAATATCTTCCGTTTCTCAACGGACCACCTACATAGACTGTAAGATTCTTGCTTGAAATTTGCTTCGCCAGCTATATTTGATAACAGAACGTAGTGCCATTACACTATCATTTTAGATAAAAAGCTCGTGGTCGTTACCCCTCAGTTGTTGAATAGAGTAGTCAAAAATTGGCTTAGTTCTCAGCTGATCGTTGGAGAACCAGGTAGATAAAGAATAAATTGACGATGTTAAGGTATTGTAATCTTGCTACGTTTCATCGTCTATTTTATCAGTCTCTTCAGTGCATCGTGTATTTAATCTTCTATCTGGTTTTCCACTGGTCAGCTGAGGATGCAGCAAATTTATACATTTGAGAACATGAATTTACAAATTGTACTAACTCTGCAGTTTTTTTGGGCTCTCTAGTACCACAGTTCTTCGAATGTTTATGTTTCTTCTTCCAACGTTTCTTATTATGTGGATGCTTCACGGCTGATCTCTTGAATACAAGATGCTTATGCCCAGGTCGAATCTCTCTGTCATGGTGATGACTTGGTTCGATCCAGTATTTTTCTTCGTTCGTTTGTATCATCCCAACCTTTCAAATAAACTACACTACAATTTAGAACGACCACTAGTTTAGTCAACTTACCAACCCGTTGCACGCGGACAGGGCAACCTTTGACCCATCGTGCCCATGTATGCGTCCTTGGTAGTGGCATTTGGTATTGGATACGGAACTGAGACTTCTACGCGTTCTTGAGGACTTCCTGTGACGCTCCAAGACAGCGTAAGGGGCAAAGAATTGCGTGCTAGGTTCTAGCACTAAAAAATGTTCCTTATCTTTTATTGTGATGTTGAAGTGTAACGTTCGTTCTATATTGCCGTGATCTACTTTGACTTCATGAGAAACATGTTCTGCTAAAGAGTTGACCCTTCGAGGTACAGTTTCGAACGCCTCTTCAATGTGACCCGAATATTTACCTGCAAGAAAAATGAATCCTATTTCTGTTTCGTAATCCTTGCGTAGGTAGTGAATTTTTGCTGGCGCTTATTAAATTTTTTTTCTGCGCTATAAGTCCATAGCCGTCTTAATTAGAATTGCTGTTCAGTATTTAGTTGGTTTAAACACAGGTTTCATGTAACAAACGGTTCAGGTATCGCACGTTGTCCGTCGTTTGTAACGTTAATTAAATTCCGACGTTTTTCTTTAAACATCTCCGCTGCCGAGGAATAGTACGTCGAAGGGAGAAACGTAGACAATAAATTTCTCTAAGATGGCTAACGCTCCCTTGCTGTTTACTCGAAGTCGTAAATTATCGTTTATATCGGAAAAACGAAAACGAATAGATTTTAGAAGAATTTAAACTTAATTGAATTTCTTGGGCAAAAAAATGCCAATTAGGTGGGTAGCTAAGTTGTGACGACTTTGACAAACAATTAATGATGAATTTGTAGGTATAATGTTGAAGTTTTGTTTTCTGATGTATATCTTTCGTTTAATAATGATGGTCGTCGGTTCATGCGATTCGCAACACTATACGGACATTTCGTAATGTATTTTAAGTTCGCGTGTTTGTTTTAACAGTACCTCAAACAAGCGGATAATAAGGGTACTTGGCTTTCGTAATAACAGTTTCGTCCAATTATTTTGCATGCATGCTGCATAACTTTGAGATCGGGCCACGCTCGTGACTGGTTTTTGTGATGGAGACGCGTGTGCCCCAAGCGCCTACGACTCGGAATTTCACGGAATCACCAAACCATCCCGCATTAATAATATCTTGGAATATATTGCTTTTATTAAAAATTCGATAACCAGGGAAATTCTAATAAAAATGACAATGCCTACAGCACTACTACACTAAAATTAAAACAAAAATAATGCCAGAATTTACGTGATGGTTTAGTTTACTTTTACTTGTTGGTGCATGGAGGTCTATTTCATCGTCAAATGAACTAAACTAAAAGAGGTTGCAGAAATAATGAAAATACTTAAATTTTACATTATATATATGTGATACCCATGGATAGAGAAGGTTATAAATGAGGAGATATTAGAAGAATAGGAGAACAGAGGACTCCATGGAAGTCAATAAGAAATAGACGAGATAGGTTGGTAGGACACCTTCGCAGGCATGAAGGGCTAGCCAGAGACATATTAGAGACAGGAACAGGAGTTAGGAGGAGTAGAGATGGATTTAGATTAGATTAGTGTTCACAAATAGTTAAGGTTTTGGCATGTTCCAGTTTTAGAGATGCGAAGATTAGCACAGGATAAGAAAAGGAGGAGGTGTGCGTCTAATTGGTTCTAGGATTGATGCTAAGGGAGTCAATAAAAAGTAGGCGATAGGCTGCTAGGGCACCTTTTCAGGCTTGAAAGACTACCTAGAGACATAGGTATTAGAAACAGAAACGGGACTTAGGAGAGGTAGGGATAGACCTAGATTATATTACTGCCCAGGATAAGAAAAACAGGAGGTACGTGTCTAATTAGTTTTAGGATTGACGACCTGATGATGATGACCCATGGTTTCACGATTAGGCAGATTTATGCAATTTGAAAGCGAATGCGAATCGTAAAACAAAGACAGAGGGAATAGGAAGTTTGATGTTTTAAGTGCAAGGTTTCGATTGATTTCGCTTCAGTTAAAACCAAAATGATTTTTAAATGTTCGGTCTGAAAGAAGCCGTCATTTGCGTCCATCTATTTGTACAAACAATGAAAGTTTTGAAATTAATGAAGCCGAACTGGAATGAAAGGAAAAAAGTGCAAGTTTTTGCCAAGTTTGTGGGTTTGTCCCGAGAGTTCTCTTCCCAACTGTTTTTGTCGATCAAAGAACGGAGGGATGAGTCTTCAATTAATGTTCCCGATTGAGAGTTCTCCAGAAGTTACACCTAATGTTCGGCATAACTTATGGAAATGATTCTTTGTAGGACCGCAGCAATCGCTAAAAAAACAATTCACTAATGAGAGCCTCGTCGTGTTCAGCAAACTCAAAACAAATTGCCCACAGATTGATGTCTGATTTATATGTCATCTTTTACTTCATTTCAATTGAAAAATTAACTTTTTATTTATCGCTATCCGTTGCTAATGAGAATAAAGATCATCAAGGAATCTGAAGAAAGGCTACAGATGTATTGGACTGAGACTATAGATGAAAAGTCAAAAGTGGTTTACCGAATTTCGAAATGTAGTACCTTCAGAGGGCCCTGATTACCACTTACAAAATGTTGAGGAATTGATGGGAATGTATTAATAAGGATCTGCAACCACTAGGAGAACTTATGTTGCGAGAGTGGAATTATCGCATGAAATTCTTCATAACATACCTTAATAGTCTCTTATATCTCTGCTAGCTACCTATTTAACTACCAATTGAACATATTTTAATGAAAAAGTCACAATTGTGACGGTCCCGCTAAATTCTATGGTTTAGTTTCAATGCGCCAGCAAACGTCGCTGATGATGCAGTCATTAGTGATAACATGTGATTTTTTTTGTCACTAGTTGGAAGATGAGTCTATAAATTAATAAATTTCCATGCGCTTTGTTGGGTTCGAAATCGTTACTGCGTTCGACAACGAAAAAAAAGAAGAGGTATTTATAACCCTTCTCGATAATGCTCACCTGTCGCTCGTAATCTGTTGACTGATGAACCACCCTGACGTTTATGGGTATTATCTTTGAACATTTTTATCGCGAATGACACACCCAGTAAATGGGCAAATTTGTTAGAAGCTAACGGACGACATTAATTCCACTTTTTTTAGACGTCAGGCCGTCTACATGACGCTTTTGGAAATTTTTATATACCTTACCTGCCGTTCAGCAGGGGCGCTTTAATAAACTTTTAAAAACTACTCCGATTTGTCGATATTTTTTTGATTATCGAAGATTTTAAAATGATTTCCGCCGAAATTGAAATTGGAAAATTAATTGTTTAATTTTGAAACACAAATAGCTGCATTTCTGCATGATCCACTTTTAACACCAAATTAGATTTTACGCTTTATTTTTGTGTAGGTACAACATGCAATTTTCTAATTCGTTTCGCAATTAAAATGTCATTACATGGAAAATGTTTTCAATATTTACATTATACAGACCGTTGTAGGTAATGGTTTGCGATAGGGAAAATATGGTGCGAAAAAGTTCATCATTTGCTAGGGGAATAAGACTACCAATGTTGAAAGATTAAGTCTAGTAGAAATATTTCTTTATCGTTACTTGGCTTAAAAGAATCGATATCAATATACAACTTGGTATCGAATCGATATCAATATACAACTTGGTATCGAATCGATGTCAATATACAACTTGGTATCGAATCGATATCAATATACAACTTGGTATCGAATAGAGAATATCGAGTACGTATGTTCTACTATCATTTATTAGGAGAATAAGACTAGCAATTGTTGAAAAATATCTATTTAACGATATCCATTCATTACTTGGTTTAATAGAATCGATATCAATATACAACTTGATATCGAATCGAGAATATCGAGTACGTATGTTCTACTATAATTTACTAGGATAATAATACTAGCAATTGTTGAAAAATATCTATTTATCGATATCAATTCATTACTTGGTTTAAAAGAATCGATATCAATATACAACTCGGTATCGAATCGAGAATATCGAGTACGTATCCCTATCCTACAAACATGCCTTTTACTTCATGCGGTTGGCGCAAACGCATGTGTATGTAAATTTGATTATATTCTTAACATTTTATTGCAAACTTGCAGCCATGATGTTAACGTCTTAATTGTGTGCCCCATTCAAAGAAGAGGCTACACACAGCGTGTGAGTGAACGAGATAGACCGAAGAACGTGACAGTTCGAGCCGTTAAGTAGCAAATATTTGCCAAGATACGACCACTTGTATTACCCTTATTTGCAATTACCATTTTTACGAATAGCAAGCGAGCGCTTCGCGAAATTTATGAACACCCAGCTTGTCTGTATATATATAGATAGCTACTAAACGCATAAATTAATAACAATGTATTCATGATACTGTCTTCTATATCTATTATTTTATCGCCCCTAAACTACATAATGTTATTATACCTATATTACACCATTCAGACATCATCAATAAGTAACAAATTTACAGGGTGTCCTGTAAAGACAGTAGATCCAAACAAAAATAGTTTACGGTACAAGTACATATCTAACAAGTTGGTGTGGTTTCAATTTTGCAATTGAAGGTTTCTTTTTTGGTGGATTCAATAAAACGCTGTTGAAGAACATCATCCTCTTTAGAGATAGCTTTAAATAAAATGGATGCGCTACTGACAAAACAGTACTGTATGAAAATAAATAAAAATAAAACAAGACAACTGGTATGCAAGGGAAGAAAAAGTAGGGGAAGAGCGAATGTAAAGATACGAGACGAAAAATTAGAAGAAGTGGCTGATTTTAGTTATCTAGGAAGTCAGATCAGTCGTGTCGCCTTCAATAGAAAGAAATCACTTCTATGCTTGCTAAAGATTAATTCAGAAATTTGATAAGGGTTGTTAAAGCTGTATGTTTGGAGCATGGCACTGTACGGGTACGAAACAATGACAGTGGGCGTGGCGGAAAAGAAAAGATTAGAAGCGTTCAAAATGTGGTGTTACAGGCAAATGATGAGGATAGCGTGGATAGAGAAGATTAGAAATGAAGAGGTATCAGAAAGAATAGGAAAACAGAGGTCTCTATTGAAGTCAATAATAAATAGGCAAGATAGGTTGGTAGCACACCTTCTCAGGCATGAAGGTCTAGTCAGCGACATATTAGAATCAGAAACGGGAGTTAGGAGGAGTAGAGGTAGACCTAAATTAGATTACTGATCGCAAATATAGTAGTTAAGGATGTGGGCTGTTCTAGTGTTAGGAAAATGCGAAGATTAGCTCAGGATAGGAAAGAGTGGAGGTGCGTGTCCAACCCTTTTTAGGACTGACAACCTTATGATGATGATGAT